GATGATCAATGTGGTGTTGAGTATTTTCAAAAATGCGCGTGCACACGATGCACCTGAATGCGCTAACCCTATGTGAGGATGCATGACACTTTTTGGTTAGGACAGCTTAATAATGTGGCTACACATTCACCAAAACAAGTTAGTATTCACATAGTTTGATAATTCTGAAAACTAAATACGCAGTTGATCATACTTCACCCATTTGAAAGATGAAGTGTTTTAAGGTTTGACAAAATTATATCGACACAAAGTTTGACATTGTCCCAAACTAGATATGTGTGCTCATACTTAGAATGAAGTGTGGAGGAAAGTTGACAAGCGATGACGGTTGGGTGCAAGGGTGATGACTGCTTGTAGGTGCGAGCTCGACAATGTTTCTAGATGATTTCCAGCACATAGGGAGATGCTTGTGTCATGTTGGAGCTCATCGGCATGGAAAAACTTCAGAAAGTTGCCAATGATTGCATGACTACATGGCAACAATTTTGGTTACTTGTTTGGGTTGGCGAGTTAGAGGGCAATGAGTAGATTGGTGAGTCATGGGTGGTGAGTTTGTAACGGTGGCTTGGGAGATTTGTAGACAAAGGGAATGCATGAGATAAGTTGCATCTAGGTTGAGATGCAGGAAGCTAGGAGATGGCTCTATGAGGAGAGTTGGTTGCTGGAAAGTGTTGGTGGTGGCTAGTGAGTATTGGATTATCTCGTTTTTCGGATTTTGAAGAGCTCGTTGAGAAAAAAAAGTGTCCAATTTTTGATGACGTCTATAATTAGATCACATAGAAATACATGCCATAATCTTTAATATTAATATATTATATAATTATTTATTACTTTAGTGTACTTTCTTAATTTTCATTTCTTATTTTCATAATTCAGCCCCTCATTCTACACTTTTGTGTTTCACCACTTTCGATCTCCTTAGTTGCTTGAGGTTAGCTGCCTTAGCGATAGTACACTGATTTTACAACTCATGTGAGCATCCATTGGTAGGAGTTGAGCCACAATGCATCGCTACGAGATAAACAAAATCTACATTGATAGTGTGATTGGAGTGTAAACTTGAAAATATGACCATACTGAATTTGTGAGATTACACATTTATGATCATTATCTATTAGTTGCCTCTAATTTTTACATAGGGGCTGTTTGGTTGCCTGCAAAGTAAATACAATGTAAAGTAAATGCAGTGTAAAATAAATGTAGTGCATTTCAAATACTTTGAGGCTGTTTGTTTGTCTGCAAAGTAAACGCAGGAGAAATATTTCCCTTGTTTGGTTAGATATATCCAGAGTAAAGTAAAAAACAGTGCATTTGTAATATTTTTTTTATCATTATAACTTGTGTATTTATAAAAGTAATCACCGATTGTTTAAACTTCGTTTGGGATAGCTTTCTTCTTTCTTTCTAAAACAGCTTTTCGATACAAAAATTAACTAAAAAACTGTTTTATTCTTCCTTCTCAATAGACATTGTCTCCTTAATATATGAATCGAGTTGGTCATTCTGAACTGGAGAGTTTGAACATTGCTCCTGTATAGATACAACAACATCAACTTCTATCTTTTCAGAACTGTTGGTTATTAA